AAAAGGGGGGGTAAATTCAACTTCTCTTTTTTTACTAAAAAATGCAAATGACAGTAAAGTATGAACATCTTTGATCAAATTGGCAAAGATTTTTTTTCACATTATGAGACCTAGGATGAAGGAAAGTAGCCATAGCCTTTCTGGAGAGCAATTTATTTGGCAATATTTGCCGTGATGCTTAAACCAGAGAATGGGCACTCCCAAACACTGATGGGAATAAGAATTTGTGTTAGGTCTCTGGAGGGCAATTTGGCACTATGTCCATGCCCTCTGACCTAACACTTCCATTTCTAGGAATTCACATTTTAAAGACATAATTGGGCAAATGCACAAAGATGTATGTCCATGATATTCCTTGCAATGTTGCTTATAGATGTAAAAAAATGGAACTATGTGAAAGTGCAACTGAAGATTAATTAAGCAGCTACATCCTTACAAAGTAAAATAAGCAGCTATTTAAAAGAATGGGATAACTGAACATGTGTGAATGGGGAAAGATGCCCAAGATACGTGGCGAAGTATAAAACAAGTTGAAAGTATGATATATAGCATGCAAGATAGCACCCATGCGTATGTATGTATGGTTATGTATGTGTGTGCAGATGCAAGGAGATGTTTACTGAAAAGTTACCAGGATGGTGTGACTTGGAGTGATTTTAATTTTCTTATTAAGAAATTCTCTTTGGCTTGAATTTTGTTTTCAAAGAGCGTATATCATTTTTATAAGAAGAAGAAAGCTATTTTTAAATGGTGGAATAGAAAAGGACAGTGGGGAAGAATTTGATATCCAGAACCTGGGATTTCCTCTAAGGCCACAGTATACAGTCACAGTAACATATGAGCTGGTCTGATCCTCATGGTAACTTCATAATATTCAAAGTTAATAAACGTGAAGGTTCTGTTGAAGCAAATAAAATAGAACTGAACATTATGAATGTAGAAATGTATTCACTCAGGGGGCACCTGGGTGGCTCAGTCGATTAAGCGTTAGACTCTTGGTTTCAATTCAGGTCATGATCTCAGGGTCATGAGATCAAGTCCCAACTCGACTCTGCACTGGGGTGGAGCCTGCTTCAGATTCTCTCTCTCCCTCTGTCCCTCCTCCACTACCCCCCCTCAATATATATATATATATATATATATATATATATATATATATATACACACACACACACATATATATATTCACTTGGAAATATCTCACAGTATATTGGTAAGTGAAACAAAAGGTAACTAAATAGACATTAGTTCTATACACACTTCAGATTTATTCATACACATATACAGGAAGTATTAAAAAAAAAGTCCAAAAGGATATATGCCAAAACGTATACTGTGGTCACTAGTGATTCTTATTTTCCTTTTCTTTATTTTCAAATGTTTCTGTAATGAACAAGTGCTATGTACCTACTTTTTTCTTTGGCTAAAAATATTCCTTATAGATCTTTCAGATTTTAAAATACTAGAAAGTAGTCCCAATGAGATAAATCTCAGCCCTTTTTAACTGCAGCATTAAATGGACCACCAAGAGAGCCCCTCAGAGCCCCTGCAGCTGACACGCAGCTGAATGAAGTGCTGAACGCCACACCAACACAAAACAAGCTCGGGGGAAACCCAAGGTACCTATTCTGATTTTGTGTCCTGAGATGTACGGGGTTATAAAACATCCTGGCTCAGATTACAGGCTAAGCATGACAAGTCTGTCTGGTACAACCTAACAAAGGAATTTACACAGAATGAGAAATTTACACATTTCATTTCCCAGGGTGGAATGAATTACAGAGGAAAAGAGCCCCTAGGAGTGCCTGCCCCACTCCTACGTGCTTCTGAATTATGCCTTCCGTGCATTTCCCCCAACACGATTTACCCAGTACTGGCTTACACTAAGGGAAGCTAACATTTTTAAAAGGTGAAAAGAGGAAGAAGGGAGAGAGAGTGCCTTTCTTACACAGTCAAACTTTTTCTGTATTTTCAGGTGAACTGGGAGATGCCAGACCTCCCCACCTCCCTCTCTCCCTCCCTCCCTCAAATCATCATGGCTAATAACAATAGTTTTTTCTCTCTGGGGTAATGTAGATGACACATTTTTCCTGTAGCTTGTCTTCCTGTAATGTGCAGGAATTCCTGCACTTTCTGGGTGCCCTTCCTGTTAACTTACATTTCAGATTTCCTCAAAAGGCATTCTACCACTTTAATATTTGAAAAATGTCAGCTCAACCCCAGACAGCTAATATAAACAAGCTGAAAAGCATACCACCTAAAGTTACAACTGTGGAAAACAAAATTTCTTTTTAAGAAATTCTTTCTCGGAATCTCACCGTTGGTAAGGCTGGAAAGAAGCAGCCCCGTCCTTCCAGCTCCCAGGGAGTCTGTAATTCTTTTGCCTCTGCTCTGCCTTAAATTAGAGGTCTGCGAGACCGAATTATAGTGATCTAGAAAGTTCGTAAAGATCCTTTGAATTGAACATGTGGTTAAATTCTTCAATACTATGAGGTTGTGTCCACCTTTCACTTTTGCCTCCCATTCCATTTGGTTATAGTATTACAAAGCAGTTTGGTACTGCAAAAAATGTCTTGGCCACTTGAGAATACGTAGCCGAATTAGGCCAATTCCACACTGAACGTCCAGGCCAAGGCTCCCATGCCATGTCTGAAATGATCATCCACTTCCCTCTATCGATAATTTTCCTTTTGGACAGGCACCTCACATTGGCACCAGATTTGCCTTCCAAAGAGGACCCAATTAAGAAAACCATTTGGCTAACTGGGAACTGATTTGAAGAACCACCAGTAGCCGATCTACAGTGGGCACACTCCTAATGGAAGGGTGCCAGGCTAGTATCTTCTAGTTTCCCAACTCAGAAGCTTGCTCTACTAGCACAGAGAGAAAAAAAAAAAAAAGGAGAAAAGGAACTTGATTTACTTTAGACCCTAAGGTCCAAAGATAAGATCACTATAATACCATCTTCTTTTTTTTTTTTAAGATTTTATTTATGTATTTGACACAGAGAGAGACAGCAAGAGAGGGAACACAAGCAGGGGGAGTGGGAGAGGGAGAGGCAGGCCTCCCGCCGAGCGGGGAGCCGGATGCGGGGCTCGATCCCAGGACCCTGAGATCATGACCTGAGCCGAAGGCAGTCGCTTAACCAACTGAGCCACCCAGGCGCCCCTTATACCATCTTCTTCACAAAACCTTCCTATCTCCCAGAGAGATCACTGCCATCTCTAAACTCCCAACTGGGCCATTTCTTTTCATTATCTATGCAATTATCTTGTATCATAATGATTTGCACACATGCTTTCTAAATGGTAAGTTCCTTGAAGGAAACAAGTACATTTTAAATATTTTGTGTGTGTGTGTGTGTGTGTGTATATATATATATCACACATACACATACATGAATACATACATATACATACACATACATATTCATACATCTATTATATTAAACTGAACTGAATAAATGAGTGTATACCAAATACAAAGTAACTAGATGCTAGCTCTTTAAAGCATCAAAGCCCAGAACGCCCATTCTAAGCTGTTACATCTCTGCTCGGTTAGGAGATTGTAGGTTTCCTCTTTACTAAGGAACATCTGGATATCTGTACTTCATAATGCCAATTCCTAGGTTCTTCAGCACTCTGAGCTTTCCAGATTTCCATTCTCCCCTAATGGTCAAGGAAAACACTGCCCTGTTTCGAACTCTTGAGAACATATATCACTTCCTTCTTGGTCTGAGATGTGTGATTCCCATCAGGCAGAATTAAAAAGTGGTTCAACAAAATACCAAAAAAAAATGGCAGAAGGCTTATGAGACACTTTAATTTCACTGGATCTTCCCCATGCATGTTGTGTCCCTGGTAGCCTTACTCACCTATACCTAACTCACCTCTTCCCTGCATACATTCTCATATGGCATATGCTTTCTCTATAGTGAAGGATTTGTTCTGAAACAAGCAGTGACTTAGGGTCCTAGAGGCACCTGACAGCACCCCCTCAGCTCTCTGATGCCATGTCAGGAATTTTTTTAATCCCCTCCCCAGTATGACATTAAGCCTGCAAAATACAACTGTATAAAAAAAATTTTTTAAGAAAAAGAAAAAAAATTTAAAAACAACCATAACCCTGAATTTCTGACCTATTATAGCTGTCTAAATACACATAATTACACACTTAAAAAGATTTCATTATGATTTTCAACGAAACGGTGCATTCCCCCCATGTTGGTGTAATGCTTAAAAGTACAGTTTTCTCCCCACATTTTCCCTCGAGATGCAAAGCACCTCCCAAAAGGGGAGACATAAAACATCTATGTCCTCACTGCTGCTTCTAAATACTGTGAGCCAATAAGCAATTGGTGTACAGTGCAAAATCTCAGAAGAGAAAGACTTCTCGTCTGCTCTTTTTGTAATATGTTATTATTCACACTTCACCTTTACTTCCTTTAAAAATCAAAAGTTTTTAATTTTTAATGTTCAAAGCGGTATCAATGGAAATGTAGCTAAAAACGTACACCGCAACGGTTTATTCCCAAAGGAATATAAGATTACATTAATTTCCTAATAGTTTAACTCAACTTTTACCTTTTATCGTCACCTACAGACTTTTTAAAAGTTTGTATTCCTGTTGCACATAAAATTACTTATAATGTGTATGCATACTAAAGAATTTTACAATTATATAAAGCACTGCACATTTAGACGCTACCAACCTGCTCTATCTCTCCTGACTGTGCAAAAGGCAAAAAGAGCTCAGTAATCCTAGCAGAAGAATGCAAATAACGTCAATGCACAGCTGAACTGCAAGCCCTGCCTTACAGGAACTCTCTGTGTCTGCAAAAAAAAAAAAAAAAAAAGACACATACTAAACAGGAAATGCAACTGAGCTGTGGAAAACCTCAAACTTAAAAATGCAATCGCCAGGCGAAAATTGCATCCATGCATTCATAAATGCATGCACAACCCTTTGCATTTTTGCAAGTAATGCAAACAGGCTCTTACCTTTCGACTGAGACATTTTCCCCTTTCCTTTGATGGGGGAGGGGAGCACAAAAGACTTTGCCTTGCTTCTCTTCTGTAGCTAGTTTTGCAACAAAGATGCAAGCTGCAGGCGTGCAATCTTCATGCAAGTGGAGTTTCTCTTGACCGATGCAGCAGATGGACTTTCAGGGAATCAAGATGGAAATGCACACCTTGCAAAACAGACTGGAAAGTGATTTTTCCCCCAGTTGCAACGTTAGGGAAGGCTGTGCTGCAGCTACATGATGGGCCAGGGCTGGCAGCTAAAAGCTCCAAACTTGGAACTGAGTATCTTAGTGCGCAGACGTCCTTCCTGCGAAGGGCGCGGGGGCCGCTGGGTAATGTAGTTCCGAGCAGAGTCCACGGGGCTCTGATTTAAGGAAACGCGGTCGCTTGGGTCGCTGAGCGAGATGACTGGGTGCGCCCAGATAAACAAGTCAGGCACGCAGTCGGTAGTAAGTGATGGGGCCAAAAACGGCAGGGCCAAAGCGAGGGAGCATTTTTTGTTACCGAAAAGCCCTGAAGCAACAGTTGAAGAACATTAGGTTAGCTGAAAAGCATTTGGCTCTCTGAGAAGGTCGGATTGGGTGTTTCGTGTTTGGCGGGCAGCACCTGTTGTAGTATCCCTGCCTGTAGACGTTTTAGCCCCCACACCTCCATTTTTAAAAACATTTTTCTCGCTTGGAGAATTGGTTGGTGACTTGGCTGGCTAGAGGTAAGATTACCTTTGCAACTGAATAGAAAATGCAAAGTTTTTAGGCAGAAATGATCCAGGTGGGTGATTGTCAAGGAACCTGAAATTCATTACTGGGGGTTGGGGGGAGGGGCAGTTCTCATTTCTTGAAGGGTTCAAGAGGAAGTTCTGCTTTTTATGTGTCAAAGATAACTTTATCAAAGTTACAATGTTTAGATGCTTTTTCCCACCTGATGGGAGAGGAAAGCCCCCGGTCTAAGGGAGAAAATAGGTGGTAATCTTAAATTACCCAAAACAGAGATCTTGAATTTATTCAGCTAAATTAACAGTATTTGTTGAACTCCTGGGATGGGCCAGACACCTTTCTAGGGTGTTGGGTCCTCCATTTGTCGTGTATTGCCCATGGCTAGGGGATGGGCAGCAACATGGTAGACAGAGCCACCCCCTTCACAAGGAAGCCAGAGATGCACAGGACGATTCCATGCAAGCAAAGAAGCTGAGTGAAGGGGCGTGAGCTGAAATGAGCTCAGACTTCTACCTCACTGAGTAGACCAGACTCAGAAATGTGCTTTCAAGGGAGAGTGGGAGAAATGGAGGGTTTCAGGCAGCCGGGGTGTGAACCAAGCACAGTAAAGAAATGAGGACAAGCCTATTCAGGAGACAGTAAGGATACTATGTCGCCTTGTATACAAAAGTGAGGGTGGACAGAATGTACAGGTGAGGACTGTACTGGATGGTAAAGGACTGTACTGGATGGTAAAGGCCACTAGAGGTTTGGACTTTATTCTGCAGGTACTTGGGAGGTGGTAAAAGGCTTTTGAGGGGCGTAACTGAATCAAGGCATTGTTTTAAGAAGGTAAATTTGCCTCCACAATCGCGGTTGAGTTGAAACTGAGAGAGTCTAGAGATAGGGCAGGTCAGTAATGGAAAATAAAAAGAGGCACTTTGAAAGAGGATTCAGCCAGATTTGATGACTGCTAATGAAAACAATGGCCGTTTTATTTGGAATTCTAGAAAGCCAGGGCCTTCTGAGTAAGGGATGCATTGGAGGGAGAAAGACCACCATGTTTAAGCTGGAAGTCACCAAATCAGCTCTTTTTTTTTTTTTTTAAAGATTTTACTTATTTATTTGAGAGAGAGAATGAGAGATAGAAAGCACAAAGAGGGAAGAGGGTCAGAGGGAGAACCCGACGCGGGACTCGATCCCGGGACTCCAGGATCATGACCTGAGCCGAAGGCAGTCGCTTAACCAACTGAGCCACCCAGGCGCCCACCAAATCAGCTCTTAAATATGCAGTAAGGGATGGAACGAACATTAATTTACCTAAGTTGATCTCCTGTCCGGGCATTATTGAAAATTAATCATAAGGTCACCCCAGGTTCGTATTAGCTTCTGTCCGTAAGACCAAAGGGTCTTTGTCCCAGGAACCACAGAACCGGGGACGTACTAGCTCACTTTCATTCACTGTCCTTCTAGACAAATCCTTGCTGTCCCTTGCTGTCCTGGCACACACAGCCTCGGCACATCTTGGAACTGGCATTTTTGTTTTCGAAGTCTCATTTAGCCAAGAGGCACATGAGGGCGGAGATTCCTGTCCGTGCATCCTGCTCACCTCTACAAACGTTCAGGGAGCACCTGCTAAGTGCCAGGCTCTGGGGTGGCCACTGGTGCATGTTGCTGCTGTCATTTGTGCTGGTACTTTCTCTACGTGGCGTGCGGAGTTCATCGCTGGCAAACGGATCGTGTCCCAAAAATCCATCTGTAATGCGTATTCCCATAGAAATGATATGTTCCACAGCCAATGCCCACATTCACTCACACACCCGTACCCAAAACACCTTTGACCCACACATTGGCTGAGCCACATGTTTAAAAATACCAAAACTGGGGTGGCTGGCTGGCTCTGTGGGCAGAGCATGCGGCTCTTGATCTTGGGGTCGTGAGTTCAAGCCCCAGGTTGGGCGTGGAGCTTACTTAAAAAGATAAATAAAAATAAATAAAAATAGCAAAATTTATCATTTTTTCGTTAATGGGAAAAATGTTTTTTGAATTTCCATGGGGAACACAACCTCCCTTGGAAGTCTTAGATTCCAGAAGAAAAAGTTCTTGCCTTGGTGGCCAACAATTTCCTCCTCCCATGGTCTTGGGTGGCCAGAGAAGCTGTACCTCTCTACAGTTGTGGGCCTTGCCTCTTCTTGCCAGGATAGGAATCCCTCCCATGGTGGTGTGAGGAATTGGAAGCAAAATCTGGCATGTTGTTCCTTATTAGACAGTACATCAGGGGTTTATCTTGACGTGGCCTGGGTTCTTGCTTCAAATCCCCCCATCTTAAAAATGTTCTATGCTTTAGATCTTTCTAAAATGCAAATTTGGTGCATTCCCCCCACCCCAACCCCAGCTTATAGTGACCATCAAGACAGTGGCAAACTCCCTGGCATGGCATAATTGGCTTCTTGAGACCTGTTCCCTGCTGACCCTCCAGCTTCATTTCTCACCCTATGTTGATGCTTTAACCAAAAGCCAGGGTTCCCTCTCCTTTCTTTAGATACGTTGATCCCTCTACCTGGCAGGTCTTTTCCATTCTTGACCTAGCTCATTCCGATTTGTGCTTCAAGAGTTAGCTTAGCTGTCATTTCCTTTTGGCAGCCTTCTGTGACCCATCACCCTATGAGCACCCTCAGTGTGAATTAGGTGCATTCTCTAATTCTGCAGCTCCCGGCATACATCTCTTTCTTGATACTCATCATAGGGCTAACAGGTGATCATTTACCTTTTTGTCTCCTCCAGGAGCCTGAACTACTGGAGATCAGAGACTTATCTCTGCATTCCCAATACCCTGTATCTAGCATAGAATAGATCCTCAAATGCATACTGAAATAATGAATGGGATAAATCGGGAAGGGACTTGTGACCATGGACAGCCTGGAATAACAAGATTCCAATGATATTAACACCTGCAGAGGAAATTAGAACACCTGGGCAAAGCCCTATGCTGTCAGGTTAGAGGTGTGATTCGTGAAAGGATGACCTTAAGTCAGACTGGCTCTGGAAGAATTATTCTAGAAGTATATGCAAGGTGTCTCAACCTGGGGTGATTTTGCCCCCCCCCCCACCCAGGGACATTGGGCAACGTCTTAGAGACATTTTTGGTTGTCACAACCGGGAGGGTGGAAGTGGTGACACTGGCATCTAGAGGGTAGAGATCAGGGATGCTGATGATCGTACTGCAAGGCACAGTAAGCCTCCCACAACCAAGAATTATCTGGTCCAGCGGTGCCAGGGTGGCTCAGTCCATTAAGCGTCTGCCTTCGGCTTAAGTCATGGTCTCAGGGTCCTGGGCTCGAGCCCCGCATTAGGCTCCCTGCTCATGGGGAGTCCACTTCTCCCTTTCCCTCTCCCTCTCTCGCACTCCCTCTCAAGTAAAAAAATAAAATCTTAAAAAAAAAAAAAGAATTATCTAGTACAAATGTCAGTAGGGGTGAGTTTGAGAAATGCTGGTACATAGTGACACCTTGAGAAGTTACTGACATTCTATTTTTAAGTTAATTTAAAGCTAATGAGATTCAGTAAGTGTAAATTTTGATGTGAAGAAAACACTAGAATCTAAGAGATGTGGGTTCTAGGCCTGGCTGCAGAAAGAGTTAGCAATGGCTCCTAAGGTAAGTCACTTTACCTTTCTGGACCTCTTTTTGTTCCACTAAAATAAGGAGGGTTAGACTAAATTCCAGTTCTAATATCCCATAGCTCTAAAACCAGCTCAGTGTCTGATTAAAACCACCAAAGATTTAAAGGAAGAGAGGTGTGATCACGTATTCTACTTTTTACATTGGAATTAAGGGTTCCTGATCCCCTAATTCCTGCAGGCCAACTAATGACTGTTGTAACAATAACCCCTGGGAGATGAGACAAGAAGTATTCAAATTACAGTTTGAAATATTGCCTTCCAGATAGCAGTACTCATCTGTATGTGACATTTACAAATGTTTTCCAACAATGTCTACTAGATGTCAGAAACATGGAAAAGAAGGTGCCAGAGTTAAAGCTAAGAGTTCAACTCTGAATATCTACTTTCCTAGATTCTAGAAAATTATAGTATAAATAGGTACGCTATGCGGAGAAACATGGCAGGTTGGTTTAAGGAACTGGATGATGAGTTGCAAGTGTACAATAGCTTTAAGCACAAATTTTGTTTTCATTGCATTAATATATCACAATGAATTATGATTTTTGGTAGAAATTCTAGAAATTCCAAGGTAGATTCAGCTTAGCTTCCAGTGCCCTCCCCAATAGCTGTCATTTCCTGACAGCTATACCTATTCCGCCTTCTTCCATCCATATATTCTAGGATTCCTTTGTTTAAGCGAACTGGTCAAAACACGATTATTTATCCTACTGAGATATGAATTTATATGTCACCATTTCTGTATGTTAACTCATGCTATTCTATGTCTTTGCCTTATTCTGGCCCCAACCAAAGTCTTCATTTTTCTAAAGTCTACCCTTCATTCAAGGTTCAAGATCACCTCTTCTATGAAGTTGTCCTTGATCACATCCCTCTGTCTTAAAAGACATCGTCCCCCTTAAATTCTGATGGCATCTGTTA